ATTTAATTTGAACATGATACAGAGAAGTACAAGGAATACAGTTTTTAAAGTGCAGCATGCCAAAGCCCCTTGTTTGCAGAACATTACGGGCAGGCTTAAAATTAACTTAAGATTAACTAAGCAATGATATATTCGATGGTACAAAAATTATTGTAAAATAGATAACAATTTAGTACAAATGAGTATTACAAAGACAGGTCATATGGTCATTTACTGTGTTGCTGTGTAATCAGTAGAATGGAGTATTATGTTAGGTAATGAAGTTAAATAGTAACAAAGTTTGATTGGGTCACATTTATGAGATACAATAATGAGACATATATGAGATACAATTTGTGAGATACAATTATTCAGTATTTATTTAGTTGTGGGTGAGTAAGTGATTTTTGAGAAGAGACTTGAATTTATAAACAGTGTTTCTTTTATATTCACAGGTAATGAATTCCAGATTTTAGGGCCTTTTATGTGCATTGAGTTTTTGCATAGCGTGCGATGGACACGAGGAACATCAAAGAGTGATCTGAGTCTTGTGTTATGGTCATGTGTTCTGTTGAGGTTGGTAAGGAGACGTTTGAGGGGAGGGTTTGTATCAGAGGTTCTATGAATGTAGTAGGTGCAGTAATAAGTATGGATGTTTTGTATTGTGAGTAGGTTTAGAGTTCTGAATATTGGTGGAGTGTGCTGTCTGTAGTGGGAATTTGTTATCATTCTGACTGCAGCCTTTTGTTGGGTGATTAGTGATCTGAGATGGTTTATTGTTGTTGAGCCCAATGCACAAATTCCATAGGTGAGATAGGGGTAAATAAGTGAGTGATATAGGGCCAGGAGGGCTGACTGTGATGAAGATGGTGACCGCCTCCCCTTGTCTGATTCTTCAGCTCCTCTTTTCTTCCTATTACGAACACAGGTAATGACTTGTGAGCCTGTAGCATCTGTTCGTAAATAAGTTAGCAAACTCTTAACTAGGCAGCGCAGGGACAAAGTAAAAACAGCAAAGATAAATTCTTAATCCGTGTATTCCTTCACCAAAAAATTGTGTAAGTATTTACACTATTTACAGTGAATAATATTTATAAGATGGTATATACAAGCAAGAGCGACTGTAAGAACAGTCTTCGACTAGAGGTAATGGAAGTCAGCCTATTCTGCTCCACTAGTTGTAGACATCGCGTCACAGAGTTGGCGGGCTTTCACATGATTGGCTGATGAACCAGCAGTTAGCATAACAGTAGGGCCCCGACTGTTACTCTTAATTGCTGGTTCACTGGCTGGGAGGGCGTGCCAAAATGGGTGTGTGACTTACCTGTACCTGTTTTCTGTACTGGACTGATGAAAGCCCCTGGTGAGTGAAACGTGTATCATTAATGTGTATTGATAATCGCAAAGGACTGTCTTTTCACACAGGTTGCTGGAGGCAGCAGGGTTATGGAGTCACATTATATCCCTTATTAATAACAGGTTGATGGAGGCGGCAGGGTTATGGCGGCACCCCGAGACCCATGTGTTGGTTGTGGGTGATGAATTACACGTAACGGAGGTACTCCTTCACCACGCTCTCCGCAACACACTCCACGCCATCTATCTGGCCCCACCTCACTCTACCTCCAATACCCTTCACCCCTACATCGACCTCTACTCCAGTGCACTTCATGGTAACACTAGCGTTTTGTTATTCTTTAATTCAATAAGAACATAAGATTGGGGGAACACTGCAGCAGGCTTACTGGCCAATACTTAATAGACCATTCTGAAATCCCTATTCTGAAGGTTACTCAAAAGATTTAGGCACCCCAGACCAAGCTTGTGCGTGGCAGTTAAAAAAAAAAAAAGACGCACATAATGGCCCAGGGATGGAACCCCAAACATTATGATAGCTAGATGAGTAAGACACAAGCGCAACGGTTAGGTATCTTTATTGCTTAAATGTTTCGCCTATACAGTAGGCTTTTCTGGTCAAATACAGAGAAGACTAAATACGGACATACCAGAAGTTGTGGAGAATAAAGATAATGTAATTAATTCATCAACCTTGAGGTAGTAGTTTTTGAGGTGGTTAGTTAACAACTACTACTTTAACACTCACAAAATCTTAATAATACTATTGCAAATAAATCACAGATCAGGTGGGAACTGATCGCAACTTAATCTCGCCAATGCTATTGCTGTATCCATATTTAGTATTCTTTATATTTGTCTGAAGAGGCCTACTGTGTTGGTGAAACGTTTCAGCAATAAAGATTCCCAATTGTTGCACACGTCTTACTCATCAACTTGTCCGCATTATATACCATTTTCATAATTATGTGAACTAACCAATTTACAATAATAATTTAGTATTTCAATAAAGATGATTCAGCAGCAATAATAATGAGGATTTTATGATATTTATTAAAGGGATGTTTCGCCCACCAAGGGCTTTATCAATCTAATACAGAGATCGAGAGCAAGGCAATATAAATAATGGCGGAGGTTAGAATGCGAGATAACGAGTCGAGGTGTGATGACTGTGTTTTGTTAGGTAAGACACATATGCAACAGTTAGACAACTTTATTCCGAAACGTTTCGCCTACACAGTAGGCTTCTTCAGTCGAATACAGAAAGTAGGCAGGAACAGTAGAGATGTGAAGACGATGTAATCAGTCCATCACCCTTAAAGTCGTAGAATTTGAGGTTGTCAGTCCCTCGGCCTGGAGAAGTTCAGTTCCATAGTCAGGAACTATCTGAAAATTAAGCGACAGTGCGGAGACTTAAATACTGTCGGAAGGAGAGGTGCAGGGTAGTAGTAGTAGGCAGGAACAGTAGAGATGTGAAGACGATCGTCTTCACATCTCTACTGTTCCTGCCTACTTTCTGTATTCGACTGAAGAAGCCTACTGTGTAGGCGAAACGTTTCGGAATAAAGTTGTCTAACTGTTGCATATGTGTCTTACCTAACAACCTGTCGGTATTGTATACCATTTTGATGTTCATGACTGTGTTTTGTTTGGGTAGACACTACCCGGCCTATTTTCTGAACGATTGTAGGAAACAAGGATCACAGACACAGGCAACGACAGGCATCATATAGGTTCAAAGACTTGTCTTCCAACTGGATCCCCGATAACATACACAACTGTATACCTGAAGAGGGTTTCGGGGGTCAACGCCCCTGGGCCCGGTTTGTGATCAGGCCTCTGTATTATTAAAAGCAAAACTAAAATAGTCAGCTTAACTTTTAGCACTAATAAGGATCTAGTATCTACGGAAAGCAGCGCAATTAAACCAATGTAGGGGTATACATCTTTCAGTGTTAGACATGACAAAAAATATATTGGGAAAACTTTCTGAAATCTTACACAGCGAAACTTAGAAAAAACGGTCATTGTCGAGCACCTCATCAACAGCACTCACCAAAGAACTTCCACCGCCAGAAACACCTGACGACTCGGTTACTCCTGTAATGGAAAGGAAAAGCGATTCCATCCTCACTGATGATCACGTCGTCCTCTTCCACTCATCTCAGGCATTCCCAACAAGCGAAAAATTAAAGAAAGCACTTTTCCAAGGACTGTTTAATGGGACACTGAAGTTTACTCATTCCCCATCAATTGAACTAGACCATCAGGAACTAATCGCAATCCTACAGGATAGAAAAACTCTTGCGACGTTCAAGGAGCGGGTTAAAGTCATTTACAACAAATCTGAACTCTTCAGAATCTGCAGAAAGGATCCACAACACAATAATATGAACTCCTCTTTCAAACAATTACACAATGAGGTTAGCTCTACTCCATACTCAGATTATGGGGAGCGCTAAACTTGTAGGAATAATACAGCACCTTTGGGGGGATGATGGAAGGCATTCAGGCTCAATTCAGGGAACTGGAGCACAGATCCAATTCCCTATACCAAGAGCCCCTCACCAGCATCAAGGAACCTCCCTTGAGAGGCTCCATACTCAGAGCGGCTAATGTTCAGCTCACTTAAATCTTTTTCTCTTCCTACCATTTACCCACATCCTCTTTCCATACTTTCGCCCTTGCTTTTCCCTTCCCTCCCCAACTATGTTAAAAAAAAAAAAAACTTACAGGCTTACTATACGTCTCGTTTTAGCCGAGATTGTCCCTGTTTGAAAGTCCTGTCCCAAAAATCTCAGTCAGTCCCCGATAGAAACATAGCAAGAATAAAAATAAGAGAAAAACAAATATGAAAAACGAAAATTTTAGTAAATTTGCTGCACTGGGAATGTCTTGAGTTTGTTGTGTATTCGCCTCGGCCGAACTTTTTCCGTCGGGTCACCATCTGGAAAAGACCCGGGCGGGGACAGTACCAGCGAACCTACTACTTACATATTGGCCGACAGCTGACTAAGAAGCGACTCGACGCTCGCCAGTGTCGAAAGTGCCCGAGTTGTCTAACTGGGCAGTTACAGGTGGTCTTGTTAAGCTTCGTTAGTGATCAGTAAATTTAAGTTTATATATGATTTTTCATCATCCCGTTAAGTTTACATTTAAAAAAATCAGTCGCATTGCCGAAAAACTGTAAATCTGTTTTTTCTTTTTCATTCCATAGTCCTTAATTTAGAAACTGGTACAATTTAGCAATTATTTGTTTGTATTAAAGAAAATATGCCTACTTTATAGTTCATATGTTTTTTTTTCCAAAACCTTAAAAATGTCCCAGTTTGAATTTTAGAAATTATGGTAAGTGTGAGAAATAACTTACCTGTATGAACCTAAGACTGCGTTCATACAAGTAATTTGATTAAAAAGCAATTAAACATTACTTACAATTTGTTGCACCTCTGAGGAATGTGGGAATTTTGGAAATTATAGGTCTCTTGAGAATCTCCCCTCTGACACCCACAATCCTCTTTACACATATACCCTGACCTAAAATATTATTAAATTTAATAAACATATAACCAATGATTAGGGTACTAATATTTATGTTAGAAGTGGAGTGTATCACCGTCCTGCGTCTGGCAGGACGGTGGATGGAGAGGCAGTGGGATGCAGGGATGGAGGCTGGAGTGAAGGTGTACCGACGCTGTGGATACTGTCATGGCGGACACCCTGGAGTTCAGTTCTTGTTTCGCTGGCTCCCTCTCACTACCACTCACTACCCACACATCTTTGTTAGTAAGTGACACCCGAAACCCACTTTTTTGGGGGGGAGGGGGAGGCTCAAAGAAAGGTCTCAAATTACAATATATAAATTAAACCCGTCCTAATAACTGTCATTCACATAATTCTTAAGTTTCGTTGGGTTAGGTTAGGTTACAACGGAAGAACTATAATACAAGATTAAAAAATGATACAAGTTGGATGCACGAACAGAAAATGGGAAGCCACACCGCCTCTCATATAACTTATATTTCATATTGTCCGTATATGTGAGAATAGGTTACGTTAGTTAAGTACATTAGGTTATGTTAGATTAGGTTAAGATAGGTCTAATTAGGTTAGTATAGTTTACAGAGCTGTATGATTCCTTTGGGTTTACCATTTGATTTCATTATTAAGTTAGGATAGATTAGATTAGGTTAGGTGAGATGAAGGTTAAGTTTGCCAACACGATGTCCAGCTACAAGCAATCTGATTACTTTTTACTACTCAAAACTGACTTTTTTTTTTACCCGATTTATTACGTACTTAGATTCGGCTCAGTACCCACCAGTCTGGCTTAGAGCTAAGTTTTCCACCTCATGTAAAGCACAAAGTATCATCAAACAGCATTCATACGATGTTTTCTTTAATGATGCTGGTAATCTATTCTTCAGAAACAGGCCAGATTGTCTTCTCACCACCAGTGTTTGTCGAATGTTTTTATCCACTTACCAGAGGGCAGTGAGGACTTCTTGGGACACAAGTTCCGGGTGGTGGTGCGTCGTTATTTCCCAACTATTGACTTCGATCGTGTGGGTCTTGGGGAGGACACACTGGCAAAACCCAGGGATTCCCTCAACACTAGGATGCTTCAAAACATCGCTACCCATCTCAACTTCACGTATGTTGACTTATGTTAGATTTGTGCTGATTTGTATTACTCTGTAGTGACGTGTGTTTTGAGATATTTGCGTGTTGATAATTGTGCAGACGTGTGTTGGCATGTGTTCATGCACTTTGATATCATTCATTAATGATATCATTCATGCTCCATTTCTATCATTCTGAATAAGAACATAAGAATAGAGGAGCACTGCCGATGCCCCAAGTTAAGTCTTATTTTACCATTCCCACTATTTTTAAATTACTCAAGGTGTTCGTTATAAGGACACTACTTGGCTAGTTCATTGACTACTAGGACCACTTCTTTGGCCGAAATGACATGTATGCCAGGGATGGGGTTCACTTATCCGGGCAGGTGTGGGTTTTCTTGCTAGCTTAGTTGAGGGGGTTGTTAGGACTTTAAACTAGGATTAGAGTTATGGGTTTAGAAATGAAAAATAATGAGTATGGATATATTGAGATATATTAAGATATTATGAATCTTAATAATAACAGTCATGGAGTAACGCTGGGTAATGATAATTTCAGAAATTATGTAAAAGCAAAGGTGAATAGGAAAAATGTGCAAAAGAAAAAACATATAATGGTATTTTATGCTAGCAGTCGAAGTGCAAGAAATAAGATTAATGAACTACGTTTGGTAGCATGTGCTGGGAACTTTGGTGTCATTGCATTAACTGAAACGTGGTATGATTTAAAGAGTCTGGATATGATTGCTGAGTTTAATATTCAAGGGTTTAAGTTGTTTCATGTGGATAGATGTATTGGGAAGGGGGGAGGAATTGCATTGTATGTACGAGAAAATGTTAATTGTTGCATAAAAACAGGTATAAAAATAGATGGACTAGTAACAGAATCTGTTTGGGTTGAGTTTGTAGAAGGTCAAGAAAAACTAATTCTAGGTGTAATATACCGACTTAGACCACGATAGAGGGAGACTTCTTTGGGACGAAATTGACACACTAACGTAGTGATAGTAGGGTATTTTAACTTTAGTCAAATTGACTGGAGTTCTTTAACTGGTAATCTGGAGTCCAGTGACTATGGAAACAGTTCGGGACTGTTTTCTGAAGCAGTGTGTAACAGAGCCTACCAGGGGTAATAATTTGCTCGACCTAGTCTTGTCAAATAAGGAAACACTCGTAAATAATCTCGAGATCACTGAAGAGCTTGGCGCAAGTGATCACAAATCCATCACTTTTGGCATTAACTGGGAATACAAGAATAATGATAATACAGTAAAAATCCCTGACTTTCGTTCTGCCCATTATAGTGGACTTAGGGAGCACCTGTCTAATCTCGATTGTAGGTTATCTAGCTAATGATTTTATTGACGATGATCATACTTATGATTACAAAGGGATCTGCTTTTATTATTTTTTTTTCTTAATAATGTACACCGTGCTCAAAGTATATACATTCCCCAGAGAGAAATTAGGTCTAATAATAACGATCCCAAATGGGTTAACAGGAGGATAAAGCATCTATTAGGGGAGAAAAGGGGAATTTATAGGCACATCACAAGAGGAGAGATTAACCTTATTGACCAATATGTTCAGCTTAAAAGAGAAGTAAAAATGGGGACTAGAAAGGCTAAACGTGACTATGAAATTAGAGTTGCTAATGAATCAAAGACCAATCCAAAGGGGTTCTTTCAAGTGTATAGGACGAAGGTGAAGGAAAAAGTAGGACTTCTGAAAATTGGGAATGGACAGCTGACGGATAACGAACTGGAAATGTGTTCCTTATTTAATGACTATTTTTTGTCAGTTTTTACACAGGAAGATGTAAATGAGATTCCAGTAATTAACAATTATTTAGTTCCTGATGAATTTAAATTAACTAATATTACTGTCACATAGGTAGTAGGTTGGTAGACAGCAACCACCCAGGGAAGTACTACCGTCCTGCCAGATGACTGTGAAACAAAAACCTGTAACTGTTTTGCATGATGGTAGGATTGCTGGTTTCATTTTCTGTCTCATAAACACGCTAAGATAACAGGGATATCTTGCTACTCCTACTTACACTTTGGTCACACTTCACAGACACGCACATGCATATATATATATACATACATCTAGGTTTTTCTCCTTTTTCTAAATAGCTCTTGTTCTTTTTTATTTCTTCTATTGTCCATGGGGAAGTGGAAAAGAATCTTTCCTCCGTAAGCCATGCGTGTCGTATGAGGCGACTAAAATGCCGGGAGCAATGGGCTAGTAACCCCTTCTCCTGTATACAATTACTAAAAAAGAGAAGAAGAAAAACTTTATAAAACTGGGTTGCTTAAATGTGCGTGGATGTAGTGCGGATGACAAGAAACAGATGATTGCTGATGTTATGAATGAAAAGAAGTTGGATGTCCTGGCCCTAAGCGAAACAAAGCTGAAGGGGGTAGGAGAGTTTCAGTGGGGGAAAATAAATGGGATTAAATCTGGAGTATCTGAGAGAGTTAGAGCAAAGGAAGGGGTAGCAGTAATGTTAAATGATCAGTTATGGAAGGAGAAAAGAGAATATGAATGTGTAAATTCAAGAATTATGTGGATTAAAGTAAAGGTTGGATGCGAGAAGTGGGTCATAATAAGCGTGTATGCACCTGGAGAAGAGAGGAATGCAGAGGAGAGAGAGAGATTTTGGGAGATGTTAAGTGAATGTATAGGAGCCTTTGAACCAAGTGAGAGAGTAATTGTGGTAGGGGACTTGAATGCTAAAGTAGGAGAAACTTTTAGAGAGGGTGTGGTAGGTAAGTTTGGGGTGCCAGGTGTAAATGATAATGGGAGCCCTTTGATTGAACTTTGTATAGAAAGGGGTTTAGTTATAGGTAATACATATTTTAAGAAAAAGAGGATAAATAAGTATACACGATATGATGTAGGGAGAAATGACAGTAGTTTGTTGGATTATGTATTGGTAGATAAAAGACTGTTGAGTAGACTTCAGGATGTACATGTTTATAGAGGGGCCACAGATATATCAGATCACTTTCTAGTTGTAGCTACACTGAGAGTAAAAGGTAGATGGGATACAAGGAGAATAGAAGCATCAGGGAAGAGAGAGGTGAAGGTTTATAAACTAAAAGAGGAGGCAGTTAGGGTAAGATATAAACAGCTATTGGAGGATAGATGGGCTAATGAGAGCATAGGCAATGGGGTCGAAGAGGTATGGGGTAGGTTTAAAAATGTAGTGTTAGAGTGTTCAGCAGAAGTTTGTGGTTACAGGAAAGTGGGTGCAGGAGGGAAGAGGAGCGATTGGTGGAATGATGATGTAAAGAGAGTAGTAAGGGAGAAAAAGTTAGCATATGAGAAGTTTTTACAAAGTAGAAGTGATGCAAGGAGGGAAGAGTATATGGAGAAAAAGAGAGAAGTTAAGAGAGTGGTGAAGCAATGTAAAAAGAGAGCAAATGAGAGAGTGGGTGAGATGTTATCAACAAATTTTGTTGAAAATAAGAAAAAGTTTTGGAGTGAGATTAACAAGTTAAGAAAGCCTAGAGAACAAATGGATTTGTCAGTTAAAAATAGGAGAGGAGCGTTATTAAATGGAGAGTTAGAGGTATTGGGAAGATGGAAGGAATATTTTGAGGAATTGTTAAATGTTGATGAAGATAGGGAAGCTGTGATTTCGTGTATAGGGCAAGGAGGAATAACATCTTGTAGGAGTGAGGAAGAGCCAGTTGTGAGTGTGGGGGAAGTTCGTGAGGCAGTAGGTAAAATGAAAGGGGGTAAGGCAGCCGGGATTGATGGGATAAAGATAGAAATGTTAAAAGCAGGTGGGGATATAGTTTTGGAGTGGTTGGTGCAATTATTTAATAAATGTATGGAAGAGGGTAAGGTACCTAGGGATTGGCAGAGAGCATGCATAGTTCCTTTGTATAAAGGCAAAGGGGATAAAAGAGAGTGCAAAAATTATAGGGGGATAAGTCTGTTGAGTGTACCTGGTAAAGTGTATGGTAGAGTTATAATTGAAAGAATTAAGAGTAAGACGGAGAATAGGATAGCAGATGAACAAGGAGGCTTTAGGAAAGGTAGGGGGTGTGTGGACCAGGTGTTTACAGTGAAACATATAAGTGAACAGTATTTAGATAAGGCTAAAGAGGTCTTTGTGGCATTTATGGATTTGGAAAAGGCGTATGACAGGGTGGATAGGGGGGCAATGTGGCAGATGTTGCAAGTGTATGGTGTAGGAGGTAGGTTACTGAAAGCAGTGAAGAGTTTTTACGAGGATAGTGAGGCTCAAGTTAGAGTATGTAGGAAAGAGGGAAATTTTTTCCCAGTAAAAGTAGGCCTTAGACAAGGATGTGTGATGTCACCGTGGTTGTTTAATATATTTATAGATGGGGTTGTAAGAGAAGTAAATGCGAGGGTCTTGGCAAGAGGCGTGGAGTTAAAAGATAAAGAATCACACACAAAGTGGGAGTTGTCACAGCTGCTCTTTGCTGATGACACTGTGCTCTTGGGAGATTCTGAAGAGAAGTTGCAGAGATTGGTGGATGAATTTGGTAGGGTGTGCAAAAGAAGAAAATTAAAGGTGAATACAGGAAAGAGTAAGGTTATGAGGATAACAAAAAGATTAGGTGATGAAAGATTGAATATCAGATTGGAGGGAGAGAGTATGGAGGAGGTGAACGTATTCAGATATTTGGGAGTGGACGTGTCAGCGGATGGGTCTATGAAAGATGAGGTGAATCATAGAATTGATGAGGGAAAAAGAGTGAGTGGTGCACTTAGGAGTCTGTGGAGACAAAGAACTTTGTCCTTGGAGGCAAAGAGGGGAATGTATGAGAGTATAGTTTTACCAACGCTCTTATATGGGTGTGAAGCGTGGGTGATGAATGTTGCAGCGAGGAGAAGGCTGGAGGCAGTGGAGATGTCATGTCTGAGGGCAATGTGTGGTGTGAATATAATGCAGAGAATTCGTAGTTTGGAAGTTAGGAGGAGGTGCGGGATTACCAAAACTGTTGTCCAGAGGGCTGAGGAAGGGTTGTTGAGGTGGTTCGGACAT